ACTTTCATCTTTCTACGTACATAGCAGAGAATGGTGCCTGGAGCAGAAGAAATATGTAATCTTTGTTAAATGAAGATAATAACAGATAGCATTTATATAGGGTTTAAGGTTTGCAAAGAGTTTTACTTGTTTTCTCATTTGATCCTCACAATAACCCAGAAGGGAAAGTGCTATAATTAATATTATCTCATTTCATAGGTGAGGAAACTGAGGCAAATAGAGGTTAAGTGACTTGCCTAATGTCACATAACTAATAAGTGTCTGATGAAGACTCAGACTCAAGTTGACCCTGAATCCAGGCCTGGCACTCTATGCACTGGGCCACCTAGCTTCCTTGAAAGCCCCAAATACATTTTTCTGGACTACTAATTGCACCTCTTTTAAGGTGACTCCAATCCATTTAATCCTCTCCCTTCCCTACCCCATAGTATACATTAAACTTTATTAGTTTGAGGGTAGGAATTTGTATTTTTTTTTAATCTGCATCCTCAGTGCCAAGCACTAGGCCTTGCACATGGTAGACACTTAATATTTGTTAATTTAATGAATTGTTTTCCACATCTTTCATAAGCAAAGAGAGATACCCTTAAACTTAACTATAATATTTATCAAAATTTTTTCCAGCTTTCAATCTTAAAACAAAACAAAACAAAAACAGACCTTAGTAATCTTATTGAACTCTAATTGTATCTTTTTGCCCAGTCTCCCCTCTCTACAAAACATCTGGCCTGAAGCCCTAACACAAGATTACATCCTATCGTTTGTTATCAAGCAAGCCCATTTTCTTAAATATACAACATCACACTGACTTCATCAGAATTTATGTGAGGACTGTCATTGTGGTTAAGCCAAAAGAAACAACACATTCCTGAATTCCTAATTTAAATCGATTTATGCAAGGCCTTGGTCTTGCTGATTTGAGATTTCATGTATGTGTGTTATGTTATAATTTTAATATGCTTACCTTTGGTTCACTTAAGGATGAGACAGGGACAGGGTAAATAAGGACCAGGGGGAAATAAAAGGGAGTGAAAGGAGGGAAAGAGAAGTTCCTTTAAATCAATTGCTCCAATTTCTGATCTGCTTTTGCAGTTGAATTATTTAAGTTATACTCCAGGAAATGATAGCCCTATATCCTCATTCCACACCCTACCCCCACTTGTCATACATTAATGGCACACCCGTGTGGCTAGAATAAAAACCATCAAAATGCCTGCTAGAAAGGGTTTTTTTTAAGTCCCTCTTTCTTCTTTAGAAAGATTAGTTTGAAAGACAATAAGCCACTCAATTCTAAGTGAGTCTATTAACAGAAAGTTAGGAGTTGGTGTAATCTGTACATTTTGAAAGATGCATTTCCATAATTCATTCAACTGCTACCTGACTCTCAAGGGAAACAATCAATTAGTTAATTAGTGTTAGCAAGTCTGCTTACTTCTCAGGGCATATTTTTCCCTCCGACCAAGTGTAACCAACTAAATTTTTAAATTTAAATTACATAAGCCTCTAAGATCAGAAAAGTTTTCTGACCATCCTGAATTGTCAGCTGACAGTAAAAGGTCAGTGTTCTGGAGTTCATCCAATTGAAGGGATTACCAAAACTACCTTCTATAGCCCCATCACCAAAATGTGATTATTCTCACTACTAGGAGGTGGGGGCAGGGGAGGGATAAACTGTCTTAAGAAAAATGCAGTCAAGTAATGTCAGTCTCCTTAAGGAAAACAAGAATTGTACAAATAAATTTTTTTTAAAATCATAAATACTCTTCCTTTGAAATGTATCTAAATCTTTACAATGATTGTTCTCACCAGAGCTATTTTTAAAGCCCAACAGATGATCACTCTTCTTGCACTTTTAGAGGGTAGTTTCTTCCATTGCTCAAAGTTTCCACTCACACGATGTGGGTGCATTCAGCACCCCTTCACTTAGGCAATAAAAATCCAACATTCTATCTTGGTGAGGGGGGCATTGCAGAAGGGTCGATCCAATCACCCTAAGGAGAGGCTGAATAGAGAATGTTGCTTTCTTATTGTTTTTCTTTTTTTAATCTCTTCTTAGGCCAACCACAAAATGCTCTACTTAGATCTGGAGTAGAAGACAAGAATAACTTTTCTTCTTCAAAATTACACACAAGAGGTAGGAGGGGCTGCCTTCTCCTCGCTTGGGAGCCTCCCCTATCCCCAGGTGTGGCTTTATGGGAAGAGTAAGGAAGACCTCACTCTCCAAACTCTGGGTCAACCACTTCTTCAGCTTTGTGCTGTAACCTGACCCCAACCTCCATCTCTACTCCAAGCAAATGTATTTCACAAAATTTAAAAAAAAAATGATCTCCCCTTTCACTACTGCAGCTGGCACTGATCGATGTCACACCACACTGCCACGCACTCGACAACGGGAAACACTTTACACTACTTGTGTGGAAAGCTTTTTGTGCCCTCCCTCATCTTTCTGAACTAGAAGTTAGTGTGTCCACTTCTGTCTGTGACAGCAAGACCTAAGCAAAAAGATAGATACCCTGGGAAAATGTGGTTGTAGAAAAAGAGACAGGAACTCAGTAGAGGTCCTTTCTATGGAATCTTTGGAATAACACAAAGATTCCCCAGTAGGTGGAGAGGAAACCTACTTTATGATGTTATGGTCTCCAATCTTAAGCATTGAAATGGAATAAATGTGAAATGAGTTTCTGTTAAGGAGAGATGTGGGGATGGTACAGAAACTTTCCCGCTATTGCAGTGACCTTTCTGAAAGGAACGACAAGTTTCTCTTCTAATAAAGTGAGGTAGCTCTCCAATCTCCCACCTCTATTTCATTATGGGACGTGAATGTCTCAGAGAAATGCAAAAACTGAGACTCTGACAAGATGGTGGCTGCCAAACAGACATTCTGTGTTTGTACTTTCATTTCTAATGTCTCTGGCTAAAAGACCTGGTCTTCTTCCCTTCAGAATCCTAGATGCTTACTGTTGGGGAGGGGAGACGGATTCCCTTCAGAATCTGCAAAAGACAAACTTATTCACCACTGGAAAGTCACCTCACTATAGGTGAAACACAGAAGTTGAGTCATCTCGGTATAAATGTCCTATCAGCCTGCTTAAAAAAAAAAAAGTATATCATTTCCTTTTATTTTAAAAGTGCACAAACATCCTTGCTGTGAGGGGAATTCTATGTAAAGCCACGACTCACCAGTTCCAAGTACTCTAAAGGCCCCACAGGAAAAAATAAGAGCATTGGGGAGGGGGATACCCTGAAAATCTGCCTGAGGGTGAAGAGCTTTATATTGAAACTAGCAAAGCTGGAAGGTGTTTCTTATCTACTGTCACACAGCTTCCTGGGCTCTTTTGGTCAAGAGATGCAGTTTAACTTCATGGTCTCCCTGAGGGGAATGGGAACAATGCTAACAAGTCTCTTGAACTTTGCAGAAGATCTCAGGGTAACAATTTATCTTCCTTCCACACCCCCACTGTACCGGGGAAAGGGAGGGTGGTGTAGGTGTAGGCCAGAGGTATTAGCAATATGGATGTATTTAAAAGTAATTCGTGTCCATGTGTATGTGTGTGTGTGTGTGTGTGTGTGTGTTGTGGGGGGAAGGGTGGCATTGAATTAGAGGCCACAGAATAGGACAAAAGATTTTATTCTGGAAAGTGAATTGCAAAGTGGAGGGGTTGTAGAGAAGCAAGGAAGGGGCCTATAGGCCCATAATAAAATCCCCAGAGTTTATCTGGTCCTGAGTCATAGATGGCTTCAGGTTTCTCATTTTCTGCATCTTACAGTCTAGTGATCCGGCAACAGAACTCGGTACCGCCACCCCACTTCATTCTGGTGTCCCAGCAGCAGTCAGGGGCTCACTCAGACCCAGAGAAGATAATTTTAAAAGGGAGAGGGTCTGAGAGGCTTTGGAATGGGGATGGAGAGGGCTCTATCTGTTCAGGACACTTCCTGCTGGACATACAACTCTAAAGTCTATGAGAAGAGGGGCACCCGAGATTAGAAACTGGGGTCACACTATCCAGGGCCAGTGGCTCTGAAATGTCTCCTGTTGCAGGAAGTCAATGGGGTCAAGTTACAGAAGGTAACTTGAAGGAGAAACTGGAAGCGAGAGTGTGGGATTTTCTTTACCAGTATCACTTCTGGCCAGTATGGACCCAGGCCTCCAAAAGCTACTGGCTAGGGGCTAGCAGGCCTTCCTTTCATTCCTCCCTTTCTCTTGGTCCCTGGACACTCAGCTCCCAGCCTTCACCACTCTTTAGTTAAATAAGGATGGGTCCTTCGGGAGAGCAAGGACCCTCCTTTCCCCAGGTCTGGCTTCTTGGAGGCATCCAGGAAGTAATCAAGAGAAATCAACACAATCTTTTTAGTGAGGAAACTGAGGCCCAAAGAGGTTCAGTGTCTTGCCCTAGGTCACAGCAATAGTAAGCAGCAGAACCAGGATTCAGCCTCTTTTCCATTAAACCACATGGAATCTTGAGTGTCAATAACATGAAGGTGAAGGTTTTGAGTGAATTGAATTTAAGGAATAATACACATGGGAATTATGGAGCACTCTTCAGTCTCCGCTATTTCATTCTCTAGACCCTCTAGGACTGCCCAGCAGACTTTTTTATTCCTTCTTTCTATCTTGCATATAGACTCAAAGAATCATGAACCATTAGAACCATATCAAGAGACCTCAGACATCACTGGACCTAATTCCCTTGTATTTCAGATAAGGAAATTGAAGCCTGGGATGGGGGGTTGGGGAGAGAGAATGATTTGTCTAAAATCTCTCCATTAATTAACCACAGACCTGGGACCAAAATGCATGTTTCCAGAGGCCCATGGAAGTACGATTCCCTTCTTGACTGAACTTTTTGTAACATATTAAAAAAACAGCTCCTTCCCAACAATAACCTCAAACTAAAAAGTTAAAAATCAAGGATTGAATTTGCTTTCCACTGTCAGTCTGTGAAGGAGGTGGTGTAGGACAGATAAACATATTGGATATTGGTGCATTATATTTCGCCACCATCCATTTATTGTATCGTCACCTTTAATTTAACTATAAATACTACAGAATAGGGTGGGAAAAGGGGGGTTGTTAGACTGGCCGAGCCTCTCTGCAGCCAGTTCTATACAAGAAACACCAGGAAATATTTACACCAGTTACAGTTTTCCTCATTTCCCTTCCTTCTCCCCCACAAAGGCAGCAAGTGTGCAAGATAGTAGCATTGTATGTGCAAGTCTCTAAAGGTATGCAAATCCCAAAGTTCCATTCCGGGGCTATCAGCTATCAGAGTCCAAATCGCTTTTACCTTCCTCTTCCCTTTTCTCTGGGGATGGCTTCGAAGCCTTGCTCCATTTCCGTGCGTTTTCTGACTCCTCTGAGGACGACCTTTTCTGCCGCCTCCATTTTGCTCTTCTATTCTTAAACCAGACCTGTTGAGAAAAGACAACAAACAATTAATTGGTGGAGATAAAATCCCATAAAATATCAAACATCTAGTGAAAGAAGAGCAGAAACTTTGGAAAATCATCATATAGAAAATTCCGGCCTATTTTATTTTGGGTCTTCCTTGGCTCAAAGAAAACAATAAATACTGGGAAGTGGAAGGAGGTGTATTTAAAAATTTGGTAGAGATTTAAAGAGGAATCCTGGGGATTTGAACCAGGTATTCGCCCGTGTATTAGTGGCCTACTTATGAAAAAAAAAAAGCTACTAAAAACAGCGTTAGAAACTGGACTAGCCTCCCAAACTCAATACATGGAGTTGCCCCAGACAGCTTTCTAGCCAGCTGTCAACATTTTGTACAAGGGGCAAAGAAGGGCAGTACCTCTACTTTCTCCTCCCTCAAGTGCACCCTCCGAGCCAGCTGTTCCCTTGTGCCCACGTCGGGGTACTTGGTCTCCTGAAAGAGGTTCTCCAGAGCTTCCAGCTGTTCATCCGTGAAAATAGTTCGGTGCCGCCGCTTCCGCCGGCAATGCAGCTGGTTGAGCAGCTGCAGCTCGGTCCTCGACAAGGTGCCTACGTTCATATAGGGCAACATCTGGTGGGGGACCGGGGACATCAAGACTGAGCCCGAGCCGTCGTAACCTGCAGCAGGCGGGTAAATGGGAGTTAAAGAGAGAGTGGAGAAAAAAAAGGGTGGGGACGAGATGCTTACAACCCCAGAATCAGAGTGAGCTCTCCTCGAATCTGGGCTTCAAGACCACTCACACCATAGCCCTCCCGCTGAGACGAAGCCCGCCCGCCAGCCTTAGCCAAGGGAAACTGAATACAACGTGAAGAAATTTAAGGGCTCCACGATAATTCTCACAACCCCGGATCCTGCATCATTATTGTATTAGTAGTATGTATGTATGTATGTATGTACGTATGTATGTATGTATGTATGTGTAATGGTATTAGTATTAAGGATGTCTGAGCCCCTTCTCCGAAAAACAGGGACGGAACAGAGCTTCCCCGACTTTTGCCTAGCTTGTCTGCGAAAGTTTGCAAAAGCCTAAAAACTGAATTGGCGAACTCTTGGTAAGGTTAGGAGCTGCTACAAAAGTAAAATAAAAGTCCGTGTACATGGAAAAGAATAAAGAATAATTTCTTCTCTGGGTCCCCAGCAGCACCTCCTCCTCAGTTCTGGGAGCCACAGGTTTCCCAGCGCGTACTTTCGCAAAAACCAAAAACAAACAAACAAAAACCAGTGAGTGAAGAAAGACTTGGAGTTTCCAGAAAACTGGATGTGGGGGTGGGGGTGGAAGGAAGCAATTGGGAGAGGATGGCCAATATTCCCCTACCTGAGGACGGAACGCAGGAACACTGCTGGGCCCCCAGAGGCTGCATCGCCCCACAGCAGGATGGGCCGACGGGCGTCGCCTGCACTTGCAGCTGCCCATAGTAGTAACTGTTGTAGCCCAAGCGGGAGCCACCGACCGCAGTCTGGAGGCCGGCTCCGCTGGGGGCTACTGCACGCGGGTAGAAGCTGCCGTAGTCTGAAGCACTGGCGTAGAGAGAGTCCCCGTGCAAGGCCGGGAAGACCACCGGAGCCCCGGCGCTAGGGGCCAGAGGCAGCACAGAGTCCTTACAGCGAGGCCGGGCGGCGAGAATATTGTCGATGCTGAACATGCCAGCAGGCATCCCCGAACTCTTCTCGCCGGGGACAGGAGAAGGAAGAACCCAAATAATGATAATAATAAATAATAAAAATTATAATAATAATAAAGAATAATAAAAAGTACCACCCTCAAAAAAAAAAAACTAAAGTACTCGCACGTCTGATAGTGTTTTCAAACCGAAAGAAGATCCTGAGCTGCTCAACTCTGTCTCCCACTCCCTCTGCTTTCTCCCTGTCTCTGTCTCTATTCCCGTCTGTCTCTATGTCTCTGTGTCTCGCGCTCTCTCTCTCTCCCTCTCCTTCTCCCTCACCCTCTCTCTTCCTCTCTCCCTCCTCACTCTCTCTCCCTCCCTCCCTTTCCTGCCTTCACTGAACTCATTCCAGAGTTGGATGAAGGATATAGTAGTCCAGCTGAACTTCTTCCCTTTTTTATACAGGGTCGACGTCATCCTAGATTTAGTTCCTGGTAATATGCAGATGACAAACAAAACCAGATTTGATTCCTCTCTCTCTCTCTCTCTCTTTCTCTCTCTCCCTCTCCCTCTCCCCCCCTCCCTTTGGTAGGGATAGTGGTGGTTTGAGAATGGGAGGGAGGGGGGCCAGGTTGGGGGAGAGTCTAAAGGAGGGGGTTACACAATGGCCTGAAAGGAGACTGGTCTGTGTATTGAGAATTAATTAAATTAACCTAATCCTTTCCTTTACTGGGCTCTCTGAAGGCTGTGCAGCTCTGTTGGCCAAGCTAATTGCTCCTGTTAATCTGATTAATGCCATTGTGCGAAAGCCATTAACAATTCCCGCCCAGTCTGTTACACACCCACTCGTTTTCTCAAGTTGGGTTCTACTATTGCGGGCGATTTCCTCAGTCAGGGGCTCACTTTGTTGGTGGTAGGTAATTTTATTCAATTTTGTTTTACTTTATTTTTAAGAAAGTTATCCCGGCAGCGTTTGCATTTAATTCTGCACTTAAATCATTGCCCACACTACCCTCTTCTCTCCTTTCATTCTCTCCTCTCCAGAGAAGGGTTTGTCTCCTTAGAACCCCTTCCTTTTTAGAGGGAAGGAGAGCGCCTTGGGGAGGTCACTTCAAGAAGAACGAAAAGGTACCAAGTTTCTAAAACAAACTAATATTTCTTGCAACGACTTTGAGGTGGAAAATGCACGCACACACCACAACCTGAGTTACTGCGATTCTGTTTTGAAATCTTTACCAAGGCAGTATCCTACAGCTACGCTTCTTTTCCAGTTCGGTGTGAAGGATATTGGTTTGGGGGGGGGGGGGCTGTTGGAAGTTACCTCTCTTTATCCAGAGGTCAGTTTCTCCTTATACGGAAATACGGGCGGGTGAAAGTTGTCCCCTATTCGGACTACCTTCTTCCACCCCACCCCACCCCCACCTCCCCAAACTCTGCTAGGGATACAGGCACACAATATTTCACAAAGCTTACACTCCCCCTCAAAAAGTCGCCTGCTTCTCCACTGACGAGCCCCGAGCTCCCCCACCAGCAGGTTGCCCAGTGATTTGCACAATCCTTGGTCTGTCACGACTGGCCCTCAGAATCCACAGGAGGTGGACTGAATCAGATTAGACTATTTACCCCATCAACGCTGCGTCAGAAAAGGTAGGAAATTGTAACGTGTAACGAAAGCAAAACATTAGCCTTTGTTGGCCAGGCACAATTGATTTTGTCCAGCAAAGACTGGGTTTATATTAGTGCTTCCAGAAAACCAAACTGGATAAACTCCCCCGCCTGACCTAGGCCAACCCGACTGCCCGCCGACCCGGGAAAGATTACTGAGCAGGAGGACTCAGTCGGCTGCGAACGTGTTAAATGTGATTGTCTCTGGTGCCACGAAGGTCACCTTAAAATATCTAGATGGGTTTTCCGGATTTCTCCTTGCTTTTTTTGGACCAGTAGTTATTAGCCAATTAAGCACTATTCCTTATTTTCTGATGCTTAGATCAGGGGGAACTCAGAAATTACTTCCAAGTAGGTTGGAAATAGTTGCCGGATGGAAAAGTAGGAAGTTTATAAGTTAGTAGTAGTAGTCTGTTTAGAGTAGACTAACCGGCTAGGGGTTTGGTAATTCTCCGACACAGTCCAAGCGACCGGGGATCAAACGCAAGCAGGCTGAATTAAACGAGCGGTTTGAGGATCACTGCAAGGACAAGAGGAGATTTTTGTACACTCTTAGAACTCCTGCAGGCCCTTACTTACCGCCTCCCTCCGACGCTGCATCAGGCCAAAGGCTGGCGGTTGGTCCCCAATTGAGTGCGCGTGCTTGGGTGTAGGCTCAAATGGTTCACTTTCCTTTCCAGCTGCAGCCCGAGGCTCCCCGGCAGCGCTAAACTGCTCTGGGCAGAGCGCTACTACTCTTGCCGCAGGCAAGCCAAGGAGTCCGCTTGGTCTTCTGGGCGAAGGTGAAGAGGAGGGTCGGAGATGTTTCTGAAAATGGGAAAGCATTATATTTTTTTGATTTATTAAAAAATCGAAAAGCTCCAGTGTGGCCCGTCCCCTAGGACAGCAATAACTGTGCCTCAGGGTCACATCGAGGGGAGAAAATTGCTCGAGCGCTTTCTCTCGCGCGCTCTCTCTCATTGGGGATACAAGCCTATTTTATTTTTCCTATCAGTCAGTGTAAATCGTGTCTTACTCTCGGCCCATGCTCCCCGTTGACCTTTCCCAGGTTTTAAAACTAACGGACCATTGGCGAGAGAGGCACATTTACAATAACTCGTAGAAGTGAATTTTCTTTTTTCTTTTCTTTTTTTTTAAATTTTCTTTTTAAAAAATTAATTGACATCATCTTAGGAGAATGGCCCAGGGGATGGATACCGTGTGGGAGCCCTAACTCGACCGTTGGGTACTTTAAATCCTCTCCAATTGGCCCTACTCCTATTGTGGGTTGGGGTGAAGTTGGATTGGGAAGTCCCAGAGACAGGATCCTGTGAAATTCCTCCCTCTGGGCACGTTTTTTCACATAAAAGATCATCTCAGAGTTTAGAAAGCAATCAGTTTGTCATTGTACTAGCTGTGTGACCCTGGGTAGGTCACTTAATCTCCATGAGATCAGTTTCTTTATCTGTAATTTGGGGGAAAATATCGGGCTACTTATCTCACACTGTTCTTTTGGGGAAAGCGCTTTGTAAACCTAAACGATTTATAGGAATTCTCGCCATTTAGCAATATTACTTTCTTCTCTCTCCTTTCTTTCAAAATCTTCACTATCTCCGTTGAGGATGATGATGATGATGATGATGATGATGATGATGATGATGATGATGTTATCAGCTGACTTTTATGTAGCGTTTTACAAAGGACTTTACATACATTATCTTATTGTCTCTTATTCGCTGTGGGAAACGAATTGAATGGCTTTTCCAGTTGTATTCGATGAAACGAGTCCCTTCTCCCTTAACCTCCCATACCAGGGCAAACAATTTGCAAACGACCCCCGAAACGAATGGCTACTGCTTATAATGCCCGGTCAGGGACTGGTCCTGGTCGGGAACGAAGGTGCGGGAAGAATTCATAGGTGACATTACTACTGGTCCGTTCTTTTGGGGCAGGAGGCCGTCCCTATGGGTCACTAGGTCAACCTGGAACGGCCGCTACGTTTTTTCTCAACTTCGGACAGCCTGGCCCTAGGCTCAGGGAGGAAAAACTTTAGATATGTTGCAAAATCTACGCCCTGGTTACCCGCCCGCTTCCCCCCCACCCCCCCCTCCCCCCCCCCCCCCCCCGCCCCGTCATGTTAGAGGACAAATTAGAGGTGCACGTTCCCCCTTTGCGTCAACTTCGCAGAACTTTCCGGGAAGCCGGGGTTTGCAAGTGAAACCCCCCTTTTCCTCCTGCAGTGAATTCTCCTTTTGCCCTCCCGGAGAAGACAACTTACAAAAGTCATAAATGCACTAAATAAACAATCAGTTGTCCCGCGTCGTCAGGGTGAAATTGGAATAACAAATGAAACTCAAGCAAATTGTCCTACCTAGTGTTGCTAAGCAATTGTTTGTTACTACTGCAAAGTCTCAGCATGAGAGGAGGATGCATGTAAAGAGGAGTATAGAGACGGGTCCGACAAGCTGTTAGATGAGAAATACAGTAAACAGGGCATTGATTTTCAATATTATCCCCCAAACACGATTTCATACAAAGCAATCACCATGCAGAAGTCTATGAAAATGTGTTTGTTGCGAAGTCAGTCATTCTAGTAATATTCCTCATTTTTAAGATATTAAAGAATAGATCAGCAGATACAAAATGCATCAGGTATATTGCCTTTCAGTTTATCAAATCTCTTTTGTGCAGCGGCCATAGTCAAATTGATTCATAAAGGTTAGATTAAATTGTTTCTGTGATTTGAAATAGAGAGCAACAAAGTTGTGGGGCCCCTGCCCCCACATACACACACTTTTCTGACTTGATGTTTCTATCAGGAGAAAAACTATTCCCCCCACCGTCACTTTCTTGCCCTCCCCCTCCCCACCCTTCTGTTAGCAGTCAAAACGATGTCTGTGGGCCCCCCAACTTCTCTTACAAAGAACTTTGCCTTCATAATTTTCTTGATAGCTCCCTGACACGGATCGTACTTTATAATGTTCAATTGGAGATTTTGATGCGATTTACATAAATTTGGCACATTGTTTTAGGGAACAAAATGGCGTCTTTGGCCGTGAATTTGTTGGGGTCAGGTAGGGTTCATTTGCCCCCTAATTAAAGAATAATGTATCTAAACCCCAGGGCATATTTTTAGTGAAGAGGTGGAAGGGCGGGTAGGAATTGAGCCGAGTCTAAGGGAAAGCAGGACTTCTTTGAGACAGGCAAATCATTCTGTTTCAGTGTTACCCTCCAAAGTGAGCATTGTTGGCTCAAAAACCTCTCCTCTGTCCCCAGCTGGGCACATACCGTTTCTGTGAATTCAGGGCATCTGCTGGACAGACCTGTCTGTCCCAGGAGTTGAAGTCTCCGGGGTGGATTCTGGGAAAGAAGCTTAATGGATGTGGAAAATAAGTTCAGGAGCTGTGGATTAAATAGGGTGACAGTACCAATATACTGTGAGTCT